TAGCTTCAATAGATTTAAACAAATGTAAGGTTTTTGATGCAAACTACAAAAGTGAAAACTTTAGTTTTCTTCAGGGGTACGAATATTATTAACCCATAAGCCACTATATGCCTACCCTTCAAGTTAGACTAAACTATTTTGCCAATAATAAGTACAGTGAAGTGAATTTGAATAATTTGTCTGTACTTTTGTACCTTCAACATGCAGAAGCTGGCAGTCTGGACGTCGCCAGTTCGATCCACGTAACTCTCCATTAGATCTACGCCGTCTTTCGTCAGCCCTGTCAGTAGGATGCCCTCCAGGTTGCCCGCCTCCTTCATCTCATTGGTTAGTTTGTCAATGTATCGAGGCAGCTGCAGCCGAATACCCGTTTATCAGTAACAGAGTACGGCATATCCAGAACTACACTAGGATATTATCATAACATGATCAGCTGTTGAGTGACTTTGTAGTGCGTTACCTGTGCATCACTGAGAAACATACAGGCAAAGGCAACACGGTCTCGCACAGCGACACTGCTCTCATACTGAAATAGACACAAACAACTTTAGCTTTTCTTGTCCATTCAAATAAACACTCTTTGAACAGTTTGGGGAAAAGAAGCAAAGTGCTTCTTACTTTCAGTGCATACGTAGAATATGAGCCTACGTACTGACACAAAAAAACCCACAACTGCAAGTCTGCTCTTTGACGAAGTTAACCAATTCTGAAAACCAAGACGGCAGGAAACAAAGTAAAGTGACTAAATGTGCTTATTGTGGAATTTTGGCCAGAAAAGGTCTGAAGTGAAAATAAATATGACAACAGCTGGTTGCCAGAATCCAATGCAGCTGGGGAGGAAAAGGCAGAAACATACTCTGTTCTGGGCACAGGTTCATCTTCTGTGTTTTATGACCGAACTGTAAAACACATCTCTTCCTGTGCACCTGAGGATTTTTCCAATAAGGACTAGTGGAGTGTTACTGTACCTATATATTCATCACTGAGTGAGGAATATGTAAAGATTTTCATGAAGTAAAAGAAAAACAAGCTAAGTTTACAGAAAAAAAGAGTTAGAGTTGCATTTGCTTTTCTATTCACCAACTAATTTTCAAAACATGCATGATATTAAGAGATCCAGTACCAGCATGCCATCATAGGCTCCAGGCTCACTGGTGAGAAAGGCAAACATGACACAGAGGTAGGGATTCTTCAGCTGCAGCCTCAGAGAGCTGCACATCTCTCTCCACAGGGAGGACTTCTCATCGGTGTAGCCTGACAGAGCCATGGCAACCACATTCAGATTCAGGTCACCTGTGAATAAGAAATAGTTGTCAGAGGCTTTACTGTAAGTGGAGCACTGTGGTCAGACAAAACCTACATCTAAATAGGAAGGCTTTCCCAGAGAGGAGAGAGGCTCTGAGAGAGCTGTTGAAGTGGATCGAGTTTTGTTGCTCAGTGAAGTTTCAAGATACAGGAATTATATTAGAAGCTTGTACTTAATGGTGGGCTCACATCTGTTCAGTTACGCCGCAACATTCATCAGGGAATAGCATCCAAAGCAACACTTTATTTAAAGGATTTAAAGCACTCTTAAAGCAAGAGTTTCACAGTGCTCGTCCGGGGAACAAAAGACTCTCTTTGATTAGAATTGTTTAACGTTGTACAGGTTTATAACAGCTTTCTGATACCACTGTCATGTCTGTACATCATCTATATGATGCTACAGCCAGCAGCCAGTTAGCTTAGCATTAAGGCTGAAAATGAGAAAACAGCAAGTATATTTCTGTTCAAAGGTCTTTATACTAAGCACCTCCAGGCTTCACTTCATGTTTAGCAAACAGATATAAAAGTGATATTAATCTTATCTAACTCTCAAATTAAAGGAGAATACCTATAATTCTTCAAATTTCTATTATTCTTTTATTAATAAATTTAAACACAACTTTTTAGCCAAATGAAATAAAATAATTTTTCTACAAAAGAAACAAAGGCAGTTTAGGACAAATCCTAATGTAAACCTCTATATGTAGTGTTACATTGCAGATTATTACTTCATGCCATATCCCACTAGATATTTAAAAAGAAATAGGCTGGGAACATGAAAAGCTAAACAGAACCACCAACAGAAAATGTTCATGTTTGACCAAGTGCATAGATGACAGTCAGAACATTAAGTCAGAGGTTGGCGTTTGAGGAAAAAACACTTACTGTTGAGGTGCTTCTGTTGACACACCTTATCTAATGAATCACCCCATCACTCATGCTCAGGAAACACAGATTAGAGCACAAGGCAAAAAAAGTTTGACCTACAATGGTTTTTCTTAGTCAAGCAGTGTGTAAAGAACAGCATTTTCTCTCCGTTCTCATTAAACCTCAGTGTGAAAAGCACTGCAGCTGATACAGGACGAGTGCTGTGTGAAAACACATTGTTCTCCTGATGCCATTACATTTTAGAAATTCCTTAAGACCATGATTTATGACAATTATCTTGCTTCATATCATTCTACAGGTGTACATTCACAGCAACAAATATCAAAATACTAGTAAAATGACACTCCAGAAAAAAGGGTCTCTCTATTATTCAGAACAGAATTTCTGGACAGTTTTGAACATGAAGAGCCAGAAAATGATTTGACTGTTTTAATGTATTTTTACACATGAATCATGAGTTGACAAAGCAATAATAACTAGAAAATTGCATTTTCTGAAGAAAATGCGTATGGATGCTGAGTGCTGAAAGATTCACCTGAAAATGCTGAACATTTTGACATCTGAATGGTTTTGCTAACTGAAAGTATGCTGAAGTAGAATTTTCCCATTCATTTGAATGGGGCAAGATTTTCAAAATAAAGCTAAATATTTTAAAAGTATGAAGTTTAGAAATCTTCTGAAGAAAAGCATGAATGCCCTTGAAGAGCTGAACATTTTGATAGCTGAAAGTATGCAGAAGTAAAAATTTCCCCATTCATTTGAATGAGGCAAGATTTTCAAAATAAAGCTAAATATTTAAAATGTATGAAACTTAGAAAACTTCTAAATAGTATGAATGTCCTTGAAGAGCGGAACATTTTGATAGCTGAAATAGCTAAAACTATGATAAGGTAGAAGTTTCCCATTCATTTGAATGGGGCAAGATTTTTAAAATAAAACCCACACTAATAATAATAATAATAATAAAGAAATAATTGGAAAACATAGTATGGATGCTGAATCAGCATCCATACAAAAATTATAATAATAATAATAATAAAGATTTGGAAAACAAGGTATGGATGCTGAGTCAGCATCCATACAATAAAAATTTGGAAAACAAGGTATGGATGCTGAGTCAGCATCCATACAATAAACTTTAGGTCAAGTATAGGAAGTTTGTGATGATCAACACATGGTCAGAGAAGTGATGAGAGGAAACACAGAAATCCAGCTTCACTTACTGATGAAGATCTCCTGCTGGCTGGTGAAGTCTATGGCTAAGCCAAGTGGCAGAGTGTCATCATTTGTCTTAGTCACTGGAAGCTCAGCCCGACTTGCATCTTCCAGGATCCAAAGTTCCCAGATCTAAAAGGACAACAAAGTGTGGTCATCAGAGTCCACAGAAGTTTGGTGTGTTTTGCAGTGTATACCCAATATAACAATAAAAAAAAACAAAAAACTTACACATCCACAAGCTGGTCTGTCATCAAAAAATATAAATAACTAGAGAATTGTATTTCCTGAAGAAAATGCGTATGGATGCTGACTGCTGAAAGATCGCCCTGAAAATGCTGAACATTGACACCTGAATGCTGTTGATAGCTGACAGTATGCAGAAGTACATCTTTCCCATTCATTTGAATGGGTGAGGATTTTCAGAATAAAGCTAAATATTTTAAAAGTATGAAGTTTAGAGAACTTCTGAATAGAAGCATGAACGTCCTTGAAGAGCTGAACATTTTGATAGCTGAGAAAGCTGAAATTATGCTGAAGTTGAATTTTCCCATTCATTTGAATGGGGCAAGATTTTCAAAATACAGCTAAATATTAATATTAATAATAGCTAAGTATGAAGTTCACAAAAGTTCTGAAGAGAAGCATGAATGTCCTTGAAGAGCTGAACATTTTAATAGCTGAAATAGCTGAAAGTATGCTGAAGTTGAATTTCCCCATTCATTTGAATGGGCAAAAATTTGCTAAAAAACACTAAATAGTTCAAAAAGTATGGAGTTAAGGAAAATTCCGAATAGATCTGCGCATGTCCTGAAAAAGCTAAACATTTTGATACCTGAATGGTTTTTCTAGCTGAAAGTATGCGGAACTAGTTAAGGGCCAAAAAACGTACGTAATAATAATAATAATAATAATAATAATAAAGAAATAATTGGAAAACATAATAAATAAAGAAATAAATAATTGGAAAACACAGTATGGATGCTGAATCAGCATCCATACAAATATTGTCTAGTTAATTTCATGTTGCAGCAGCATGATATTGCAAACCACAATAATTCAGCAGCAACTGCACATCAATGGGATCTCAAAGAGAAACTAGAATTACTGCTTTGTGGCTGTATGCCCCCCCGCCAACCAGTGAAATTCATGGGAATGGGACAGATGTGATGTGACCTTGACCTTCAACCACCAAAATCTAATCAGTTCATCCCTGAATACAAGTGGACATGCGCCTCATTTGAAGAAATTCCCTCAAGTTGTTTGTGAGATATCACGTTTACGAGAATGGGCCGGACATAATGTACAAACAGACACAACAAAAACATTCATAATGCTGTAACAGCCAAAATTATAAAATGTAGCTTTTTGAGACACAGACCACTGGGTTGCTCAGATACAAGTCCAGCTACGTCATCAGACCACACAGCCCATGCTATAGGACAGATGCTCATGCCTGAGCCTCTCCTTGTTTCTTTTACATGCTCAACTCAAGAATGACATTTTGGTTTTCGTGTAACTATTTTATGTGTGTTTGAAAGATAGTACCTGTACAACCAGGTACTATATGGCTGATGTGCAGTAGCCTACTAAATTACAAGCACTTAAATTACAATTAAATTAAATTACAAGCACTGTGGAAACCCCCAGTACCAGACAGGCTCTTTTCCCTGGCTACATCTGTATTAGACACAGATCCAAACTGTTAATGCCTCCAGCTACAGCTATTGCTGGCACAGGCATGAAAAGCGCAGATCAAAGGTTTGTGATTATTTAACTGGTTGCTATTTTTACTACTACACATTGCAAGATGTCACCTTGTGAACTCAAATACTGTAATGGGCATTTTCACTGTTTCCTAATGTTTTATACACCAAACATTTAATCGAGAAAATAACTTGAAGAATAATCAAATACAACAGTGACTGCTAGACGCGGCCCTAATACGCATAAATTAAAACATATATTATTAAAATGTCAATTTAAAATGATTAAAGTGCTTTACATATACCAGCACTACAATTTCGATAATGTATCTTGTCTGAAAATTGTTCTTCCCTGTCAACACCAGGCTTCCCTCTTCTCTCACTCTACCTCATTCCTCAGAGTGTTACAGTGCTCACCCTTCACAGCAGTGGCTCCCCTGTTAAGGATCTGAATGGCCCGGCGGATGTCCAGGTTGAACAGCGCAACAGCGGCCGCCCGCTCCCACTCACGATCCTGCTCCAGGGATCGCAGGAAGGTCTCCATGTCGATGTCGGGACCCCGGCTGATCCAGCCACAGAGGCGCAGGGCAAGGTAGCGCTCCTCACTGTAGTACCGTGTCACATCTGTCTGACGGTCCGAGCCGCTCCAACACCTGCGGCTCTCTGTTGTGCCTAGGTGGACAAGACGGACATACACAAAACATCAAAACTGTTCCATCACAGCAACGCAGACACAAATCTGTTTGCAAATACTATTCAACCACAGTCAGATTCTTATTCACAGACATCTTTATCATATTCAATTTTCATCAGGTGGCCAGACTGCCACCATGTCATTTTCTTACCTGAACTGGTCTTGACAATATTCTTGATACCAGAGTAGACCACAGACTGCTTGTTCCCCTGCAGTTTCAGCTCCATATCCTCTGCACATTGCTTCATATGTGATTCTTGTATAGGAATTATAACTGATAGTGCAGTTCAAACAACACAACGGAGGCACATAACAGGGCAGATAAAGAACTACAGAATGTCACATTAATTAAATTCCAACTGGACCAATAGAGGAGACAAAAACTTTTCAACTTAATATTGACAAAATAAGCAGCGAGGTCTATGAAAGATCAACATTTCTAG